ATTATAAATAGAAAATCGTACAAAAAATTATTTAAATTAAATTTTTCATTAAAAGTATGCAATAATATTCACTTGTTGTATAAAACAGCACATTTAAAAGGATGTTATATATGATAATTTCTTTTAAAATCATTGGAAAAATATGCTGTTATCGAGCAAGAGAAAAATGAAAAAGATACATGTATATTAATACATAAAATCAGCAATTATTCTAGTTAAAAAACTTTATAAGACCTAATGGCCAATAATCATGTGTGCCTTATTCTATTGCGATGTAATACTATACAGATGAATAGCCAGCGTATTACGTTAAATGATGTATTTACTTTATTATTCGTAAAGTATTCTTTGGCACAGTGATATTCGTTGAGAAATTTAAACAGCGAATTTCATTTTATTAATATCGGCGAACTTAAAATACGCGATATTACATGCTAGTGAAAGATCCAATAGCGACACAAAGCAATTTCTCTTAGAGCGATCCTTCAACGGAATATTTTTTTTTCGAAATTGAATCGGGTAACAAAAGATACATAATGCATCAGAGGGCAAATATCTCACGGCTGACAGCTGTGATTTATTCGTTTGATTTTGTTGAGAATGGTCACTGAGATATCACGAACGAAACGCCGTGCACCTATTCTGACGAAGTCAATCGCAGGATATTTCGCGCCGAGTGAGATAATTTAATACGAGCGTCGTTTTCTTACAAATTGCCATCGTAAAAAGGCGACGAGTGGCTGTGATTGCTCAAACCGATAATTGAACGCTTAAACTTTTACGTCGTATCGACTCAATGTCATCTTCAGATCTAAGAACGCTCGCAATTTTCCCGAGGAGAGCGTTTCCGGCAGAAAAATCACCTACGAGCTTTATGCGTGCTTTAAACTGTACTCTTTAACGCGAGCGTATCAGGAAGTGAGCGCCCAGGTCTCTTCACAGGTATTGACTTTCTAACAAAAGCGCTCTTCCGATAAAGCGTCAACTACACGCCACCCCCGGACGCGACTCACCCTACCTGCTTCTGCCATGTTGTCCCCTTACCCTTCCTTCCGTCATCCTGCTAAGCCTGCCGCCCTATAGGTATAGGTATTTCGATACACTCACCGACGGCGCCAGCTTCTGGCGTAAAATAATTAATTTTCAACAGGCAACAAACCATTAAAGTGCTCGGACTGGCGTGCGCATGTAATTATCGGCATACGTTAGAAACGTGATATTCTTTTGAAGTTGGCACACCTTTTGCGCCGAATAAAAAACAAAGATTGAGTGCTAATTGAAGTCGAGAGTCGTCAACTCGACAAGGAAGATTCGATTTATCGCGCTCGGCCGATTCGATCGATGTCGATGGTTTGAACTTTCTACTTCTTCCAGGATGAAAACCGATTGTATTTTTCGCACAATAAATACCAAAGAGAAAATTATATGTTAAAATCAAATAGGGCGAAATATGCATATATCATATTTCGATAAATTATCTCGTAAGAGAGCAAATAAATATTCATGATTTTAACGGAAGTAAAATGATTGAATATCCGATACAAAATAAAATGTATCAGATACGTTTTAGGATTTATTCTAAAGTTGTATATCACGGCCACGTCCTGATTCCATTTTGATTGACGTTTTGCATTGTTAATGCTTCATGGGAATATTCAATCTTTCCTATAGGATAAACAGTTAGCAATCACATAGCAGTCGATTAGATTCTACGCTTGTAATTATAGATTAATCGTCTAGGGCGATTAATAATCGGTCGTTCGTGCTGATTCGACAATTCGATACACGTTTCCCTTCGAGAACGATTTTCTTCGAAGTAGTACGTTTCATTTAACTCTCTGGAGCTGACGCTAAAATTTGTAACAGTTATTAATGCTCGGTCTGGATCTAAGATCTACTTAATTTATATTAATTAAAAGACATTAATTAATTTCAAAGAATTAGTTATGTAATTTCAAAATTACATAACTAGTATAGAAATTATAAATAAATTTTAAGGATGTATCAGGTGTATGATCTCTTTGTGAAATCATGTGACTAGAATTCGAAATTTATGCTTTTTTCGTATAAAAATAAACGTTATGTGTATACATAAAATAAAATATAAAATAAAAAGTTCAATAAAATCAATATTTATATTTATTAATACAATTTTGTAATTTAAATAAAAATTTTTTTATTTTATCTTAATTATTTTTTAATTAACATATCTACTTCTTATTAAAATATAACTTTTGATCCAGATTCTGAATCACCGCAGGACTTCTTGTATTATTTTCAAATATAATATAAAAAAATCTGAAATTCTTTTATAATCTTTCATTTTGTTAAAAAATATTAAGAGTATAACACACTTTTAATAAGAATAATCCAAATTTGTAGATATAACATATAAAGAAAATTGAATTGTTTAACAAATAGATGATGAATAATTGAACGAATCCAATAAACCTATTGTCAGCTTTGAAGGATTAAACGTCGATACATAAAATTATCAATCCGTGTATCTAATAATTTTATGTATAAACATTTATATGATTCATAATACCATATCATCTATGCTGTGTCCGAAAGCATATAGTCTATGCACGATAAATGAGCTTATTACATTTTGCTGCCTTCATTATAAGTATACAATTGCGGCGCACGATATTTACATATTATTCTAAACAATATGTTGCAACATAATGTATACATGTACAGAGTATTACTGTTTCTGACAAAATACTTGTTAAAATCATTACTAGCTTCGTCAGAAACAGTAATGTTACATACATGCATTATAAGCATCAACATTGAACCGTTTCGGCTCGTATTGACATTTTACCTATACCTACTTACCTATACGTTAATGTATCTACTGTTCAAAAATATTTGTCCGATTTCGGGTTATTTCTAATTAAAGGAATGTTAATTAAAATATTCAATTAACTGTCGCTTTGTTATAAAATATTATTGTGCATTACATTAGACATATGAAGAGAATGTCATAAAATCAATAGCTTGTTATAGAATTAAGTAATCTTTACACTTACACAGAATATAAATGTATACAGACAGATATAATAGAGTCAGCATAGATTAAATTAATGGCTACAATGTAAAATTCATAACGTCAAATTATATTCAATTTGAATTATTTTCAATCATTTCTATAGGTCGCAACTCCTACTCAATATGTTCTTAACTTATATAACTAAATCAATGAAGTTAAACAATTTAACTCAAGAAGAAAAAAATCAAATTTGACTGCAATTTAATTTATTATTTGCTAATTGTAGTTAATAATTGTATGTTAATATGGATGTTATTTTTATTAAGCAATTTAGCCACAGAAATGGATTGATTTACATTTTGACACATATAGAAATTAGATAAGAAGGATAAAAAAGTATTATTTAACTCAAGAGAGATACCATTACTCCTCGTATTTAACATTTTATATTTTATGTATACACAATATATATATCCTTCGCAGAATCTCCTCTTTTCTATCTGTGAATATGC